TATATATATATAAAATAATATATATTATATATGTATTGTATAAATGTACATATACACATGAATATGTGTATTAATCTCGAATTACATAATCTAAAATGAAGTTCGAAAAAATGTTACTTATAATTCTACAAATATTATATTATTACATAAAAATATACATCTTATAGAAAACCTGATAATAATAGCCTCTAATAGGCACATTTGTGAAAATATTGCACAAAAATGGCATCATGAATGGCGACGATTTTGGCAATGATTGCACTAAGATATGATTCGCCATAACGCAACAGTTTTGTCGAAATAAAATTTTGTAAATAATATTTGTCAAAAATTGCGAAAAAGTCGTTATGCATTTTCACAGTATATACCTCCAATAGGCGAATTGTGAAAATATTGCACAAATATGACATCATAAGTGACGACAATTTCTTGCATTTCTTCATATGCAATCCATATTTCTACATATTTGAAACATCACGTAGCTGAATTTCTTTTGTCAATTATTGAACAATTTCTTTGTGAAATTAATTTTGCAAATATACCGCTAAGATGATTCGCCATATCGTTGTTCTTTTGCCAAAATAGTATTTTGGAAAGTAAATTTTGCAAACAACTACAAATATTTCAGAAAATATCAATGTTTTTGCATCCATTTGCATCTAAAATATGTCTGTACAATTGCAAATTACAATTTTAGTGCAAGATTTCGTCACATAATTTTGTAAATGGTTTCCTATCAGGGAGAGTAAATAATTTTAGCGCTTCCTATATTCTCTATATAAACTTGCTCAAACTTACATTATTCTTAACTGTTCAAACATATATTATTATTTAAACAATGATACACGTATGAAAAAGTAGGGATTAATTCGCCTGCCTGCAATTAAGAGAGAGAAACCGTTCGCGTGACGTTCAATATGATGAAATGTGCAGTTACACAACCCAGCGCGATACATAATACCTTTTTACATGACCGCGTCACGAGCTTATGCGGCTCGTAATAATACCGTAAACGAGCATAAACCGACTCGTAGCGTGTATTAATCTACGACGTTTCTCTCGCAAAGTTCGCGGCTCGCTCCAACAACAAAAGTCGCAGACCGGAAATCAAGAGGAGACACTTCGCCGAGTGTCGTTTGTCACGTGACGTCAGGGTGAGTGCAAAAAAAAAAAAAAAAAATAAAATAAAAAAGTTGGGTTACGCGCGCGAGTACTTAGCGAGTTGTCTCTCGCGGCGGCAGCAGCAGCAGCACCCCCTTCGC